TCAGGTAAAATGTTTGAAAATTCAAAATTCAGGTTTAGATTTAATTAATTAAAAATATTTATTAAATAAATATAATAAAGTCATGATTAAACAATTAATGGTCACATATCATCAAATTAATTGATTATATATTATTTTGAGGTCACAAATCAAAAATCTTGTAGGTCACAGATTGTTTCGAGGTCACAAATTAAAAATTTTATGGGTCACGGATTATTTTTTAATCATAGATCATCAAAATTTAAGGTCATAGGCCAAATCATTGAGGTTACATATTTTTTTTAGTCACATACTATCAAATTTTAAGGTCACAGACCACCAACAATCAACCCAAATCACCAACTTGCATCACCACAACCGTCGCCGTCGCACACTACACCAACACCCTAGGAAACACCACCACCCACATCGTACCAACAGAATTGACTTCCACCCACATTGCACCAACAAAACCACACATATACCACAGATCAACCACCTCTACCACCTGCATCAACAACCATCACCACCATCCACAACGGACCAATACATCCAAAACCACCACCAAACTCGACCATAATCGGATCACAACCACCACCGTCCTACCTAGATCCATTGCACCCTGTACCGCATGAAGTCACCATAGCCACCCACATCCACGTTGGACAGAGAAATCGTTTGCAGACCACCCCCAATCTCACAGATCAAAAAATGGCAGCAGTTGCGCCAAATTCACCACGCCACCACCGCAAACACCACACAAAACACCATCCAAACCTCGCAGCAGTGGTTCCTGTGCTGTGTTGAAGCGGCGAAGCGCCTCAAAAAGGCGAGCGACCGTCGCTACGAAGCACCTCAAAACGATGAGTGAGAAAGACGAAGCAACAACGTGAAATGTGAAGCACCACTGCAGGACGACGTGAAAGGCTCTCTTCGACTGTGGGCGGCGGCACCATGGGTTAACGGGAGAAAGTGAGGAGAGAAGATGCTGATTGCTGTGAAATGAATTTTAGGGCTGAATTGGGGATGAAATATTTTGTATTAATATTAATAATTAAGGCCTTGTTTGATCCCCATTTTTACCTCATTAAAATGAAAAATATAACTGTTATCCATCATATCAAGCCACCATTTTTTAATTTATATCTTTTGTGTGGAGCCCATAATAGTTCTATTTTTCATTCTCATTCTACAAATAATGTGGCTTAAACGGGCTCTAAATTCATGCTTGGAATTTGCATAAAAAACCATCTCACCTCATATTTGCACTGAGATATTTAAAAGTCGGGATTTTTGTAATTTTCACTACGGATAATTATGCTCAAATAGGGGCTTGTCAAAGGCCCTGTTAATGTAGCCTCTCTCATGATATGTACCAACACAGGCTATGAGGGTAGAAGGCTGGCTTGAAAGGGCATGGCTGTGGTCATGTTAAGTGCTATAAGTTTGAGCCCCATTTTAAAGAGAAAATGTATTTTTGAATAATGAGTTTTTGAAAAATGAGTGGTTAGAAAGTAAGAATTTTTTTTCGATTTTCATGTAGAATTATTTTATTGGAGAATGTGTGATTGAAAATGAGTTTTGAAAAATGAATTTTTGAAAAAATGGGACTCAAACAAGGGAAAAATTTAGTCCATGTTTAATTTAGATAAAAATTATATTTTTAGTAAATTTTTATAAAATTTAATGGAATATATGACTAAAAAGTTGTGAGTTCTATAAAATATGCAATTAAAATTAATTATTAACTTTAACTTAAATTTTAGTACAATTTTTTAACTAAACCAAATAGGACGTAATGTCTGAAAAATATTCTAAATGATCACATTGCTTTATGAAATCGAAATAAAAATTATGTGCAAAGAAAAAGTTGACTTTGATAGCAATTTTTTTATTTTTTAAATCAATTATAGCGAAAATTTTTAGTCCCTATCTGATGCCCATTATCTGAAAATGAAAATGGGGGAATAGTATTTTTTAGAAAAATAAGTGGTTGAAAAAGAAGGAAAAATTTTCGATTTACGTGTAATATTATTTTATGAAATATTATGTGATTGAAAATAAGAGAAAGAAAAATGGAATGTAATGTAATTTAATTTAATGAGGATCAGGCTAATGAGACGGGCAAAATGGTGATAAAAATATAAAAATAGCATCTGATTTAAAACAATAGGGTCCGTTGATATACCGGCAGTGACACGTGGGTAATCAGATTAAATAAGTGTATCCATAAAACCGACGGTGTAGATGGACCAAATCCCATTCCAGTTTCTCATCTCAATCGTCTCCTCTCTCCCCATTTCTCCACCCTTCGATCTCCCAATTCACTCTCCTTCTCTCCCTCCCAAATACAAATACTCCCTCTTCTCCCTATCCCGGTATTCATTTTCCCCTTTCTTTCTCTATCTAATTTATCTTTCTACCATTCCTTAAAAATTTCTGAATCTATATCTGTATTCATCCATGGACACTCAATTTGGATTTTGTTTTCTAGGGTTTTGGAGGTATGGCGGATGCTGGCATGCAGGGAGTGCTACCGGGGAGCCCTGACGGCGGCAGCCATGAAAGTGGTGGGGACCTCAGCCCTAGATCGAATGTTAGGGAGCAGGATAGATTCCTGCCGATCGCGAATATCAGTCGGATCATGAAGAAGGCGCTACCAGCTAATGGAAAGATCGCTAAGGAAGCTAAAGAGACCGTTCAGGAATGCGTCTCTGAGTTTATTAGCTTCATCACCAGCGAGTATACCGTCAAGCTCGTTGTTTGATCACGTTTTACGTTTTTCTTTTCCTTTTCCTTTTCCTGTCTTGTTTTGTTTTGTTTTAGATCAATTTATGCACATCATTTTCTCTTTTATTTATTTGCTATTGTCTATAACCATTCCTTTGGATTACATGGTAATTATTGCAGGAAATTACAAAATCAATATTCGCAAACAACACACGCACACTTGAGCATATTCCTTGGAACCTGTATATGTTATATAGACACAAAACTGTGTATTGTATATGTGCATGCATCTATGTACCTTGTTCTCTTTTTATGAGTGACTTTGCTGTAATTTATTTTTATGTGTAGTGAGGTAAATTGCAAATTGATTTTTCATATCTGTTTTGGAAGCATTTATATAAGTGTTGAATGTGTGCAAGTAATTGAAACTATTTTGGTGGTTTAATGTCAAGGGCAAGTGACAAATGCAAGAGAGAGAAAAGAAAGACAATTAATGGGGATGACTTATTATGGGCTATGGTGATTTTGGGGTTTGAAGATTACATTGATCCACTTAAGGTGTACCTAGCTAGGTACCGAGAGGTAGGTGCTTCCTATTTCTTAAAATAAAGACTTTAGACTTGCTCCTGCATGTGGTCTAAATTATACTGCTTAGTTTTGCTTTAGATATTGCTAAGCATTGCAACTGATGTCTCTGTTTTTTTGCTTTTGGTGTTTTTAATTTCTTGTGGCACGACAGATGGAGGTGAGTGAATATAAATTGCTTTATCATTCGATGGTTTTTATATCGATTCATTTCATTTGACAGCTTGATATTTTGACTTGGGTTTTTCCACAGGGTGACACCAAGGCATCAGCGAAGGGTGCAGATGGATCTTCTAGAAATGAGTCAGTACAACCTAGTACTAGTTCACAGGTACCCTGTTACACATTCTCTTGCGTTCCTTTGCAGGAGCTTTATTTAGGCTTATTTGTTACGGATATTTATTGCAATTACTATCCCCTGTATGTGTACAGCTTGCTCATCAGGGTTCATTTTCACAAGCCATTAATTATGGAAACTCTCAGGTACCCACTCTCCATGTCTCTGTGCACGACTCTAAGTTCCCACTTCCCATGTTACTTGGCTAGTTTACCCTATCAATTATCAAATACTCATAATTAATGTGTATGCTGTGTCTCTTATACCTTTCCAGCTCTACGTGCTACACAAAACATTTTACCTTATGAGATTGTATCCTATTTTCTGTCTGTCCAACTCCTTGTGTATCAAGAAAAAAATACATTCATATGACATTTTCACTGTTCTGATTGTTCACAAAAACAGGGATTTCCTTGATTAGCGTCACAAATCTTGGGTCTCATGGTGAGCATTCTTCTTCAAAAACAATGATTAGCTGTGCCTGATTTTATAATAAAAATCTGGTCTTTTGTCCTCTTCTTGGAAGAGAAATACTTGGGATTTGTAAAGATTCTGCTTTAAGTCATTGTTAATAATCCAAAATATAGTGCCACTAAGTCTGTCCTGTTAACTTCCGCTTCAGATGGTTGTTGACAATGTTGTCACTAGAATGTGGATCGAGATGATCAACATTTCTGACGAGGGACTTGATATGTCCTTCATTAGGGAATGCTGTTGGGTGTTGATTTCCAGAATAAGTTAATTTAAGGAACTTCATCATCATGAAGTTTGAGAGGATTTAACAAACTTCTCCATGAATTTACAAGTTCCAGCACAAGTCAATTTGATTAACCCAAGTTTCAGAATTTCGTATCTGTCAATTTCCTGTGTACCTTTCTTTGTATGACTTAGACAGTATGGCGAATCAAATGAGTTTTCTGGTGTTTCTCTTTTAGTGATTTGCTAGCATCTCTTATTGATCTTCTCCATTTGTTAATTTTTGTTAATTCTTTTTTTTTTTTTTTCCCTTTCATTTTTCTTCTTTTGGAAAGTGATTGCAATTGATTTATGTGTGTGCATGTGAATAAATACCCTCAAATATTTTTATTTTAAGTGCAAGAAGCATATCATCGTATGGGGAGACAATAATTAGGAAGCATAGAAAACAAATGATAATAGGAGCAGGGATGGGGATGGAGAATTGGAAACATAAACCCAGTTTCGCCTTGACAGGGATATTTTCCCCCTTGTCCAGTCTGCAATTTTTAAGATTCTTCCAGATCTTCACTTGGACTTCAATGGAAACAAACAACTGTAAAATCTAATTTTCCTATGTTTTTCTGTTTCTTGTGTTCATATTACATGCTACATAGTTGGAGAAAACACTGGAAGCTTACACGGAAGTCGGTGCCTGTGTTATTTGAACTACATGCTATTTGAACACGAAGGGATGTTGTATGTTGTGATGCTCGGGATTTCTAAATGCTACAACGCTCATTTCTAAGTCATCAGTCTTCCTATCATTTGTGGTCCAGAGGTGTAGTTTGTGTTCAGTACTTAGATTCTGATTTATTATTCTCCATGATTGCAAAATGTGCTCCTTGAACATACTTTTTGATGCCAAATATCGAATTGTTGCTGTTTATTGACTTATCAACTATGGCCTTCTTTCGCCTGTATGAACGAAATTAGTTTAATTCTCTTTAGGTTCCTTGAATCTCTATCCATATAGAGGTTGGAGCCTATTCTTACTAATTTATTTTGTTTTCTGTGTTGATGTTTAGTCACAACCTCAGCATATGATGGTCCCAATGAGAGGCACGGACTAGACTTCGCTCATCTCTGAATCAATATTGTTATTTTCGTCCTGCTTGAGGAGATCATCACAGTTTCATAATGCATTTTATATTATTAATTATTATTATGCTTTAAGTGTGTTATTTTTGTGCAATTGTCAGAACTATATTTTAGTGAAGTTTGTACATTTGGGTGTGAGTTAATTTATTAAATGATCACTAAATTTTGTTATAAGTTATTATTTGCTCACCGAAATTTAAAATATAACTCTTTACTCATTGAATTTTACTATAAGTTACTACTTGCTTGCTGAAATTTAAAAAGTTATTTATTGCTTATCTAAATTTAAATGAGGTTACCCATTAATCATTCATATTATTTTCATGAGTGTTACTTATTGCAAAGTTTAATGAGCAAAGAGTAATTTTATTTAAATCTAGGTGAGCAATGAGTAGCTTTGTGAAATACGATGAGTAAATAGTAACCTATAGCAAAGTTTAGTGAGTAACGAGTAACTTTTTAAAGATTGTTGAGTAGGTAGTAATCTATAATGAAGTTTGGTGATCATTCATTAAATTAACTCTCTGGATGTCTTTCTGTAACATGAAATGATTATAAGATTTGGGGGCAGACTTTATTCATTGGGAAACCCTATTTTCTGTTGAATTGAATTGAAGCCAGCTTAAAATATGCTTCAGCTTTCATCCAATTGTATTTAGTAATTTATTTTCTGAATTCCTAATGACTAGTGGATAATTCATCAACATACTAATATCCAAAATCAGGTTCATGTTTGGTGAAGATTCTTTAAAAACTTAAAAAAAAAAAAAAAAAAAAAAAAAAAAAAAAAAAAAGCTTATTTTCAATCATATTTTTTCAACAAAATAATTTTAATATGGATTGTAATTTTTTTTGACCTTTGAGCCAAATATTGTTTTGAATTAATTATTTTTCACAAAATTTATTTTTTTTAAAAAAACAACATAATATATGGCTTAAAATGAAAGCTTGTGTATCTGTAGAAGTAAGCCAGTAACTAGTAAATACTAGAGGGTAATTTCATCCACAACTCAACTTTTAGACAAATTAATTTCTATCTTTTATGGGATTCAAAATTTTTTAACTATGTTTTTATCAATTTTAAACAAAATTTGCTTAAATTTTTTTTTTAATCCCCACCAAATAGGGGCTAAGTGATTTTGTCCCTGTTTGACTTTCATTTTTGGAAAATGAAAATGAGTGGAATGGTGTTTTTTTGAAAAATGAGTGGTTGAAAAGAACAAAAAAAAAATTTAATTTATATGTAATATTATTTTATAAAAAATTGTGTGGTTGAAAATGGGAGATAGAAAAGTAAAATATAATGGAATGTAATTTAATGAATTCCAAACGGGGTTAATTTGGGGAATCGCTTGTGATGGAATAACTAAGTTTGACTCTAAAATTGTAGATTGGTGATATAATTGAAACAAAATTAATGACCAAAATGTAACAAACTAAAGTACAATTACCAAGTTGAGATATTTCTGAAAGTTCAGACACCGCATATGAACTTTACCGACGTTCGGCAAACAGTGATGTTCGCAGAATAGCATGTCATACGTAACGACGAGCTCTCATTTCAAACTGGAAGCGCGCGAAAAGAGTCATGAACCATATATCACTTCAATCTACATCACTGCTTACCCACGATGTTTAACGTTGCATCGTTAACAAACCGAAGATTGTGCAGATACATTATTTCAAGTCCCGGTTTTTGTTCACTCATTGAAGCCTCTGTAATTCACTCATTCTCACTCTCTCAGAGCCCCGTTTTTGCCACTTTTGATCACCATAAAACAACGCAAGATAGAGCCTTAACCCAGAATAAACCAACCGGATTTTATTCCCCAAAACCTGAGATTTCCCTTTATGAAAAATGTGATTTTTTGATTGAAAAGTACCGGTTTTCTTGTTCGACTTTCGATGGCGAGCAGCTCCATTTAGAAATAATCAAGAAGGGGTTGGTTAATCACTTGTTTCTGTGCAACACTGTAATTAATGTATATGTGAGGAGTGCTGATTTGGTGTCGGCTAATAAAGTGTTCGATGAAATGCCTGACAAGAATTTGGTCACGTGGGCTTGCTTGATTTCTGGTTATACCCAAAATGAAATGCCCTATGATGCGTGTGCTATATTTGGAAGAATGGTATCTACCGGATTCATTCCCAATCATTATGCTATTGGAAGTGCTTTGAGGGCTTGTCAGAATTTGGGAGTTGATGGTCTGAGATATGGGATGCAAATCCATGGTTTCATTTCAAAAACTCCTCACACATTTGATGTGATTGTGTGCAATGTGTTAATTTCGATGTATGGGAGTTGTATGGGTACAACTTATGCTAGTCGGGTTTTTGATGGGATGGAAAATAAGAATTCTATTTCCTGGAACTCTATTATTTCAGTTTACTCGCAGAGGGGTGATACAGGTTCTGCTTTCGGGCTCTTTTCTAGTATGCAAAAGGAGGCTTTGAGGTTCAGTTTTAAGCCTACCGAGTATACTCTAGGCAGCTTGATAGCTGCCGCAGCCGCAGCCGCATCCTCTTGTGTTGATAGTGGTCTGTTATTGCTCAAGCAGATGTTGGCAAAAATTGTTAAGTCTGGATTTTTAGAGGATCTGTATGTCGGTAGTGCTTTGGTGAGTGGTTTTGCCAAGTTTGGGTTGGTTGACACTGCCAATAAGATTTTTCAGCATATGGGTGCAAGGAATGCAGTGTCCATGAATGGATTGATAGTTGGACTGGTGAAGCTTAAGCGAGGAGAAGAAGCAGTTGAGGTGTTTATGAATATGAGAAACTTGGTTAGAATAAATTCCGATTCTTTTGTTGCTCTTTTGAGTGCCTTTGATGAGTTCTTGTGTTTGGAAGAGGGGAAAAGAAAAGGGAAAGAAGTGCACGTGTATCTCATGCGAACCGGCATCATTGATTCTAAGATCACTATTGGGAACAGTTTGATTAACATGTATGCCAAATGTGGTGCAATTGAAGATGCTTGCGCTGTTTTTAAGCTAATGTCTTGCAAGGATTCGGTGTCATGGAGTTCTATGATCTCTGGTTTTGACCAAAATGATCGTTTTGAAGATGCACTGTTCAGTTTCCGTGCAATGAAGAAAGCTGGACTGATGCCAACAAATTTTACACTGATTAGTTCTTTGAGTTCTTGTGGCAGTCTAGGTTGGATCTGGATGGGAGAACAAATACATTGTGAGGGTATTAAATTGGGATTTGATTTGGATGTTTCAGTATCGAATTCTCTTCTTTCCATATATTCTGATACCAGATATATTGCTGAGTGCAGGAAAGTTTTTTCCTCCATGCCCGAATATGATCAGGTGTCATGGAATACAATTGTAGGAGCATTTGGTGATTCTGAGTCCTCTATTATTGGTGCTGTAGAATATTCCAAAAAAATGATGCAAGTTGGATGGATTCTTAACAGCATAACCTTCATAAACATGCTTTCTGCAGCAGCATCTCTTTCCCATTTTGAACTTGCACGCCAGGTTCATGCACTGGTGTTAAAGTATCGCCTTATGGATGATAGTGCCATTCAGAATGCACTACTCTCTTGCTATGGTAAGGTCGGATTGATGAATGATTGTGAAAGCATATTCTCTAGAATGTCGGAGAGAGATGAAGTTAGTTGGAATTCCATGATATCTGGATATATACACAATGAACTTTTATCTAAGGCCATGGAAATAGTGTGGCTTATGCTGCATAATGGTCAAAGATTAGATCGGTTCACCTTTGCCACTGTTCTCAGTGCTTGTGCCTCTGTTGCAACACTTGAGCGTGGCATGCAGGTTCATGCTTGTGCAATTAGAGCTTGTTTAGAGTACGATGTTGTGATTGGGAGTGCACTTGTTGATATGTATGCCAAATGTGGAAGGATAGATTACGCTTCAAGGTTTTTCATGTTAATGCCTGTACGGAATGTATATTCCTGGAACACCATGATATCTGGCTATGCACGACATGGTCATGGACATAAAGCACTGGAGATGTATGCTCACATGAAATTGGAAGGCCAGGCACCAGACAACGTGACCTTCGTTGGGGTCTTATCAGCTTGTAGCCATGTAGGATTGGTCGATCAAGCATTTGATCATTTAGAATCCATGAGCAAAATGTATGGGTTGACACCTGGGATCGAGCATTTCTCTTGTATAGTTGATCTTCTTGGAAGAGCAGGTGAATTTCGTAAGATGGAGGACTTTATCAATAGAATGCCAATAAGACCTAATGTTTTTATATGGAGGACTGTTCTAGGTTCCTGTGGTCGAGCAAATGGTCGCATGGCTGATTTAGGCAGGAGGGCTGCTCAAATGCTTTTGGAATTGGAACCTCAAAATGCAGTAAACTATGTCCTTCTTGCAAACATGTATGCCTCTGGAGAGAAATGGGAATATGTTGCTGAGGCCCGTCGTGCAATGAGGGAAGCAGAAGCAAAGAAGGAAGCTGGGTGCAGTTGGGTCACTATGAAAGATGGTATACATGTTTTCGTTGCAGGAGACAAATCACATCCTGATGCAGAAGCAATATACGGTAAAATAAAGGAACTGCATAGGAAAATGAAAGATGCTGGATATATGCCTCAGATAAGATATGCGTTGTATGATCTTGAACTGGAGAACAAGGAAGAACTCTTGAGCTATCACAGCGAGAGGCTTGCTGTTGCTTTTGTTCTTATACGAACTTCAGAACTGCCCATAAGGATAATGAAAAATCTTCGAGTTTGTGGGGATTGTCACTCTGCCTTTAAATACATATCCCAAATAGTGGGTAGGCAAATAATTTTACGAGACTCCAACAGATTCCATCATTTCACGGACGGTAAATGTTCGTGTAATGACTATTGGTGATTGAACAAGCATTGAAGCATTGCCAGTCTTGACCATATAGTCATCGATTCTCAGGCATTCATGGGATCTGTAATAGAAGACACAACCCATTCTTTGGCCAATCTATGGATACTTGAGCTGGTGAGTGGAAAGATTCAGTTCTCTGTTGATTTCTTCCCCTTATTTGGGTTTATGAAGATGGGATGAAAAGGAAACTAGGGCCAAACCCATTTATTTCACTTGTCACAGACTCATTTGAAAATAAGGCTTTTAGAATTAAACTTGAACAAACTGGTGGATATTGAGACAACAAGACATGACAGGAAGATTTGTACTTTGTAAAAGAAGGAAAAAATAATCAAACGTGTTTTCAGGTAATAGAGACCAGATATTACATTGAAATTATTTGGTCCTTCCCCTAGTGTATAGACATAGATGAAACTGGTACCTGTTGGGTTGAGACCATAAATTGACACTCGGATGGTTCCTCAGGTTTTCACTATCAACCATCTTTAAGGTTTTAGTTAAAAGGAATTAGACATTCGATGTGTGTTGAACATGACGTATAGCATGTATTTATATTTAAAGATTAGTCTAACACCTTTTTACAGATCACATAAAATCTGATTCAGTGATTGGTCCTGTTACAAATGTTAATATCTTTCTGCTTTTTGTTCATTTCGGATATCAACTTCTTTGTTCAGCTGATTACTGTGTCGTATTACTCTTCAACTGTTGGAAATTATCTGTGAGTTCTACCATGAGGAGCCAGGATCATTTTTAAAGCTGGGGCACCTCACTTTCCATCTTGGCGGCTTCTGTCCACCAGAATTTATTTACATAATAAATGTCTGGGAGAAAGATTCTCCACGCATTTTTTATTTTTAGTTTTCTCAAGTCTTTTAACATGTTTCCTTGGGTTCACGAAAGCATCGTTGACCTGAAGTTGCACATGACACAAATCATCTGGAGTTGCCATTTTGCTCTTCTGAAGCTGACCACATTCTAGTTGTTTGTCTGGACCAAGTAATAATCTCATTTGTTTGTTGGAAGAAAACTTTTGGTCCATGAGCTTATTCCTGAGGAGATGATAAATAAAGTCAAATATGCCACAACTGAAGGACAAGGGCCTATTTCTCCTTGCAGTTTCCCTATATTTGTTGTTCGTTTCTCCTATTCATATTGTCCTTACCGGTTTCGAAGATCTCTTTTATGCTTCTGAGCTAGTGCTATCAAGAATAAAGGAAAAAAGGCTACTCGTAACCCTATAGAGGTGGGACCACTGCTTTCTTGTGGGGTGGAGTCTCTGTTGGCTAACGTGGGAAGGTTCTCTGTGGAGCAGGCGTTGTGCAATATTTTGGCTGCTTGAGAAGTTGGAGAAAGAAATTCTTTCTTTGCTTAATGAGTTTCACCAAGCAGATGCTTGCAATTATCATGAATCATCTGGTTAGCTGGTGGAAACTTGAAAAAGGTGACTTGATACAAATAGAGGAAGCTACCACCGCAGATACTTCAGTTAATAGGTTTTTAGTATTATCATGTAAATCATTTAGGTCAAGGACATGAAAAATATATATTATCTAATAGAAAGATGGTCTGAGTGGTCTCAGTTATTAGATTGAAGGTTGTAGCATTGAAATGACAAGGTTGATCAATCATCGAAGGACCCCTTGGCCTCTCGACCCATATAAACACAAGAATGTTTGCTTACCTAGGCTCTTTCACATGTACGTATTGTAGATAAAGTTATACAAGAAGGGATTTGAATCGAGAAAATTGTTTCTATGTAAAACCTATGTCACGGGATTGCGGAAGAAAAAGAAAAAGAAAAAGAAAAAAGGAATTGTCAATGATTTGACACTTTTGTCTAGCTTAAAGGATAGTCAATTATTTGATACTTATTGTCAAGCTTTTGGACTTTTGAATGTAAGTGTAGTGATTTAAGATTTAACATTCGTGGAATAACTGTTGGTTTCTTTCATTATGAGTAAAGCAAGGTTCAATGCCTTTTTTTTTTTTTTTCCTTTATTGAAATCATGGAGGGTAGGTTGTCCAAAATTATATTCCGAGGGACCTGTTAATATTGTGCTTAATGACAGCTCACATAGGATGCATCTTCGTCTTGAAGATGAAGAGACATTTTATTTTTTTATTTTTTATTTTTTATTTTTTTTGTCTGTTTCGTTGATAGAAAATCTTTCAACCATAATGCAGGTCACTAGGAATAGGCATCTTTAACTTGCATAATAGTCATTAAGTATGGAAGATGTCGTATTTTTCTTTATTCTTTAGTTGAACTTTTCAAGAAAAAAAATACAAAAAATGAAATACAATTTGTAATATAATAGTCATTTTATGACAGTCTTTACAGCGTAAATGCTAGTGTATTTTTACACTTACTTGAGCTATGAAAAATGGATATTTGTAAGTGCTTCCCTTGATTAGATATTTAATTTTGTTTATTTTGTGATTGATTTAGGGGAAACTCGAATTTGACAAGTTTGATTGAAATTGTACAAAATTGAAAAATAGAGGATCAAAACAATCAAGTCTTGGGATGAACAAGAAATCAATGTGGATGACCAAATTGCATGAAATTAGAAGAAATTGTAACATTTGTTAATTTTCTAATTACACCCAAATTCTACATGGGAAATGCTTTAGGACTCCTTTTTAAAGTTATTGTAAACTTCTATATTAATCAATATTTTTTATGGGACACACAATTTTAGAGAGAAAAATAGAAGATCAATTTTAGGGTTTGCAAGATTTTGGAATTAGAGGGAAGAGCCTTATTGCAAGATTCAAATTTTCCTTCATCAAGATATCATAACCCGATTATAAACTATATTCTCTTCCATTGCTTTTCTTTCATTAGTATAAGTAATCAAATCATTAGTTAGGAGAAATAATGTAATATGTGTGTGATCATTTAATTTAATTTTCAAAATTCTCGTAATTAAATCTTCATGTGTTGATTTTATTTATATATTTTAATGATTTGAATTAATTGATTACTAATTCAATGATATGTGAACTTATAATAAATCGAGAGGTAATTATAGATTAAGAACACATAGTAAAATTTGGTAATTTGAATAAAAATGTATAGATGTCTTTTATGGTCATTGTGATCATTACATGTGTTATTGGAAGAGGAAATTGAACTTTTCAAGAAAAAAAATACAAAAAATGAAATACAATTTGTAATATAATAGTCATTTTATGACAGTCTTTACAGCGTAAATAGTGATCATTGCTAGTGTATTTTTACACTTACTTGAGCTATGAAAAATGGATATTTGTAAGTGCTTCCCTTGATTAGATATTTAATTTTGTTTATTTTGTGATTGATTTAGGGGAAACTCGAATTTGACAAGTTTGATTGAAATTGTACAAAATTGAAAAATAGAGGATCAAAACAATCAAGTCTTGGGATGAACAAGAAATCAATGTGGATGACCAAATTGCATGAAATTAGAAGAAATTGTAACATTTGTTAATTTTCTAATTACACCCAAATTCTACATGGGAAATGCTTTAGGACTCCTTTTTAAAGTTATTGTAAACTTCTATATTAATCAATATTTTTTATGGGACACACAATTTTAGAGAGAAAAATAGAAGATCAATTTTAGGGTTTGCAAGATTTTGGAATTAGAGGGAAGAGCCTTATTGCAAGATTCAAATTTTCCTTCATCAAGATATCATAACCCGATTATAAACTATATTCTCTTCCATTGCTTTTCTTTCATTAGTATAAGTAATCAAATCATTAGTTAGGAGAAATAATGTAATATGTGTGTGATCATTTAATTTAATTTTCAAAATTCTCGTAATTAAATCTTCATGTGTTGATTTTATTTATATATTTTAATGATTTGAATTAATTGATTACTAATTCAATGATATGTGAACTTATAATAAATCGAGAGGTAATTATAGATTAAGAACACATAGTAAAATTTGGTAATTTGAATAAAAATGTATAGATGTCTTTTATGGTCATTGTGATCATTACATGTGTTCTTGGAAGAGGAAATTTCACAAAATGTCCATTTTTACCTAGTCATTTGCAAAAATGTCTATCATTGTAAAAATGTCTAATTTGGAAGAATTTAGACCAAAATAACTTTATTAACAATTTATAATTCCACACTAAGACAAAAAAAAAATGAATATTTTTGCAATATTATTATTGACCAATAAAATTTTGACATATAACTTGTCATATTTATTTCAAAAAGTATACAGGTCAAATCACAATAAATGCTATGACATGGGAAATGCTTTAGGACTCCTTTTTAAAGTTATTGTAAACTTCTATATTAATCAATATTTTTTATGGGACACACAATTTTAGAGAGAAAAATAGAAGATCAATTTTAGGGTTTGCAAGATTTTGGAATTAGAGGGAAGAGCCTTATTGCAAGATTCAAATTTTCCTTCATCAAGATATCAAAACCCGATTATAAACTATATTCTCTTCCATTGTTTTTTTTTTCATTAGTATAAGTAATCAAATCATTAGTTATGAGAAATAATGTAATATGTGTGTGATCATTTAATTTAATTTTCAAAATTCTCGTAATTAAATCTTCATGTGTTGATTTTATTTATATATTTTAATGATTTGAATTAATTGATTACTAATTCAATGATATGTGAACTTATAATAAATCGAGAGGTAATTATAGATTAAGAACACATAGTAAAATTTGGTAATTTGAATAAAAATGTATAGATGTCTTTTATGGTCATTGTGATCATTACATGTGTTCTTGGAAGAGGAAATTTCACAAAATGTCCATTTTTACCTAGTCATTTGCAAAAATGTCTATCATTGTAAAAATGTCTAATTTGGAAGAATTTAGACCAAAATAACTTTATTAACAATTTATAATTCCACACTAAGACAAAAAAAAAATGAATATTTTTGCAATATTATTATTGACCAATAAAATTTTGACATATAACTTGTCATATTTATTTCAAAAAGTATACAGGTCAAATCACAATAAATGCTATATTTTTCATTGATTTAGAAATGTCGAGAATGACATTTTTAAATGTAGAGAAATGTCATGTTCATAATGAAATGCAATTCTAGACAAATGAAATGGTGTTCAAATGTCGAAAATGACATATGAAATGTCGAGAAACATTATTTTAATTTAGCTTCTCATGGAAGCCACTTCTCAAAATTCGTGACAAATTGATAAAAAAAATCAGATATCGAGAGCGACATTTAAAATGTCGAGAATACCATTTCAAAATGTAGTTTTTCATTAAGGTTATAATAGACAAGTTGGCACTAAATTCAAATGAATATATATTTTCAACTCATACTTATTTATATATTTTAATGATTTGAATTAATTGATTACTAATTCAATGATATGTGAACTTATAATAAATCGAGAGGTAATTATAGATTAAGAACACATAGTAAAATTTGGTAATTTGAATAAAAATGTATAGATGTCTTTTATGGTCATTGTGATCATTACATGTGTTCTTGGAAGAGGAAATTTCACAAAATGTCCATTTTTACCTAGTCATTTGCAAAAATGTCTATCATTGTAAAAATGTCTAATTTGGAAGAATTTAGACCAAAATAACTTTATTAACAATTTATAATTCCACACTAAGACAAAAAAAAAATGGATATTTTTGCAATATTATTATTGACCAATAAAATTTTGACATATAACCTGTCATATTTATTACAAAAAGTATACAGGTCAAATCACAATAAATGCTATATTTTTCATTGATTTAGAAATGTCGAGAATGACATTTTTAAATGTAGAGAAATGTCATGTTCATAATGAAATGCAATTCTAGACAAATGAAATGGTGTTCAAATGTCGAAAATGACATATGAAATGTCGAGAAACATTATTTTAATTTAGCTTCTCATGGAAGCCACTTCTCAAAATTCGTGACAAATTGATAAAAAAAATCAGATATCGAGAGCGACATTTAAAATGTCGAGAATACCATTTCAAAATGTAGTTTTTCATTAAGGGTATAATAGACAAGTTGGCACTAAATTCAAATGAATATATATTTTCAACTCATAGCCTTAAAATTGAACATTCTTAAAAATGCCCCTTCTTAGAATTACATGCATTTAATAAAGTCTTATTTGTATTCACATAAAGATATCATGAATTGACTAAGTTAAATATTATCAATTTGAACTTGAGAGAGGTAAATTAAGAAAAAATCGACATAATACTACTAAAAGTAAAAAATATTGATTAGCAAATTAAACGGAACAACAGATGAAACTGTACTTCGTGACGTCCATATTTTTCAAAACTCTAATTTGATTAATTGTGTGCTTTAGGTAAAATTAGTATAATTTAGATAACTAATAAAAAATTGTTCTTTATTTTCGACATTTAAGAGCTAGAAATAATAAATTTAAGTATTAAATAATAGTCACTGTGAGAATAATCACCTAAACTCATAGATCCATTATATTACTTATTACGATAATGGATATTTGTGATAGAGAAAAGTGAAAATACAAGCTATGACATAATTGTCTTTCTATGAGAGTTTTTACAGTGATTAATCATCTTAAAAGAAAGTATTAAGTACAATAGAGCGATTATAACTAAACGACTAATGTCACTCTTTTACCATGATTTTAAAATTTATCGTAGTAAACAAAATTATCGTGACAAATTGATAAAAAAAATCAGATATCGAGAGCGACATTTAAAATGTCGAGAATACCATTTCAAAATGTAGTTTTTCATTAAGGGTATAATAGACAAGTTGGCACTAAATTCAAATGAATATATATTTTCAACTCATAGCCTTAAAATTGAACATTCTTAAAAATGCCCCTTCTTAGAATTACATGCATTTAATAAAGTCTTATTTGTATTCACATAAAGATATCATGAATTGACTAAGTTAAATATTATCAATTTGAACTTGAGAGAGGTAAATTAAGAAAAAATCGACATAATACTACTAAAAGTAAAAAATATTGATTAGCAAATTAAACGGAACAACAGATGAAACTGTACTTCGTGACGTCCATATTTTTTAAAACTCTAATTTGATTAATTGTGTGCTTTAGGTAAAATTAGTATAATTTAGATAACTAATAAAAAATTGTTCTTTATTTTCGACATTTAAGAGCTAGAAATAATAAATTTAAGTATTAAATAATAGTCACTGTGAGAATAATCACCTAAACTCATAGATCCATTATATTACTTATTACGATAATGGATATTTGTGATAGAGAAAAGTGAAAATACAAGCTATGACATAATTGTCTTTCTATGAGAGTTTTTACAGTGATTAATCATCTTAAGTATTAAGTACAATAGAGCGATTATAACTAAACGACTAATGTCACTCTTTTACCATTATTTTAAAATTTATCGTAGTAAACAAAATTATTTTCACTCCTTTCTTGTGTTGTTCAAGCCAAACATGGCATTTCTGTGTAGGAAAATGCTCAAGGTACACCGAGGTGTCCAACATAGTGTCCAAAATGGACACCCGGCACCTCGGTATTGGCCGAGGTGCTACTGGTCCTCGACATGGCAGGCACCTCGGCCAATGCGGAGATGCCGTGTGTCCATTTTGGACACCATGATAGATGTCATAATGTACCCCAAGTATAACCCTTCTTGTGTAAAATGAAATTGCAAAAATAAAGTTTATCATATGCATGGTACAGTTGTACAAGTGCATGAGAAACATCAGACAACATTTACTTTCGAAATTGTACCTTGTAGTACTCTATGGACCGCTTCGACCAATAAATTATTNCGCTTTCTCAAAAAACTTCCAAAGTTAGTTGGTGTTGTCTCTGTGTTGATCTGCTTGTAACTCCAGGGAGCATGTCTTTTTTCTTGTGGACTGTTTTTTTGCTTGAACTTTGCTACAATAAATCTCAGTTGTGTGGAATTTATGAGTTTGTCTTACAATGTGGGTTGATTTTTTGAGCTTCAAACTGAGTTTTGGATGCCGTTATTATTTTATTTAATTTAAACATGTATTCGTGAGTGTGTGTTTACAGAACTTGGCATTTTTTTATTTTTCTTTTTGGATATATTCTAGTTCTTGAGGTCTAAATTATTTTAATAAAACCTTTTTCTGGTAGTTTGCTGTATTATTTGAACGTGGCTATTATGGTTCGGTGAGATGCTTTTGGATCTGCTTATGCGTTTTCTCCATGTGTATAGTTTATTAAAAGATTAATGAATTCTTATTTAAGGAGCTGAATATTTTAATGGAAATTTAACAAGTTTTGGGTGATGACAGATAACTATGTCTTGTTAATTGTACCGTTGGTTTGATTTATACATCATAACGGACTGTAGAATATAAAAATTGAAAACCCTGTTATGAAATTATTTTAATGTATATACTTCACATTGAATATCTGTGGTGACTAGTGAGTATTCTTTTAAATGGAGCTCTTACACTTTCTGCTGAAAATGTTGGCTATAATTATCATTTATTTATTTATTATGCTGTCTGATGTCATTGCTATGTAGTGTAAGGAAAGAGTAAAAATGAAGCAAAAAAAAGGAAAGCAAAGCACAATTTGCATAGTGATATTTATTTTTTCTTGATAGCTACTTTCTTATTTTTCTATTTCTTTTTTTGTTATATTCCTTGTTGTTGTATGTTTGTTTGGTTGGTGGAGTGGAGTTTGTTTCTATGGAGTTTCTTTTAAGGGATTGTATTGTTTGTATGTATCTTTGGTTTGGTTTTTTCCAATTGAATATCGCTTAAAGCTTAATTTCCTTGATGAGCATTTTATTTGTCTTGTTTGATTTATGTATATAGTTGTAGCAAAAGTTCTTTCTTAGCCAAGAATTCCTCTGAACTATTGCAGGTGCTTGTGGGGCAGGTGGACCTTTGAAGAGGAAGGTTTTCCATATTCTTCATTCTCTCTGAGTTTTCCATATTCTTCATTCTCTCTGAGCAGATAAAGTATGCAAACACCAAAAGCAAGGTAATTGTCACTCATGAGTTTGTTTTCTGTTTGTGGTATCGTTCTTGGGTTCTATCTTTGAAATTCCGTCAGATCGGATTGAAAAATCTTGCCTACATAGAAGAAGGCTAAACATTTATGCTGTACAACCATATTCACTGAAACACAGAGCATATATGCTTGCTGGTAACACTAGTATAGTTGCTGAAAATGTTTTCTGGGGACAAATGTGCATTACTGTTAAAAAAGGTGGTGATGTGTTGAGCTATTGATTTTTAATTTTTTTTTTTTTTGTTGGAAATTGTATTTATTTCATTGTATGATGCCTGAATGAAGAGTCAATGGTTCCATCATATCGGAAACACAAATATACTCTTCTTTAATTTTCTATTTAGTCCAACTGATTTGTGCTTAGTTTTTATGTGTCATTAAACAAAATAGGTAATGGCATATCTTTCAGTGGCCTATATTTAGTTTCCTATGATGTGTCTTACATCGTTGTTATATCCATTTTGGATGTAGACCTGCGTCACTGGATGTGCCTCACAAGGTGTCTCCTGCCACACCGCGGACAACCCGGAAGCTCAAAACTCCAGGATCTGAATCTGATCCTGTTCCGTCACCAAATCCAGCAAGCAAAACTCCAAAAGATAGAAGTTCCAAGGTTGTTGATCGTCGATCACCAAGGACTCCAGCAACTGAGGTAAATTTGAGGAGAAACATTTGGCAATTTATCGCCTTGAGTATCCTTAAAAATATTTTTTTCAAATGGTAAAACCATGTGCTTAGTGCTAGACTAGTGAATCTCACTTTTGAGGTTAATTATTAGTTAGGCAGAAACAAAACGTTCTTTCATCAAATTGAAGCATTGAAATATTTAGATGCCTTATTTTGCTGCATACCTCTTTTTAATTGTCTTCTAGAAGTTCTCGTGAAAGCTTATGCCACAAATGATATGGCTGCTCGCTATTTTAAATTGTGTTAACTTTTTAAAAATATTTCAGGCGTACACAGTTTGATTTTGTTGTCTTCAAATGCTTTAAATATAAATGTTCATATTTTAGAAGACTTGTGAGAGGAAAAGTAAGAAATAAGATAACAAGTGAAGTGAAATAATTTAATTATCTTAAGAATTTTCCTCCCAAACAAGACAATATATCCGAGTTGATAGGGCATACAGCACAATTTTTCTCTTTTGTAATATGTGCACTTCACGCATTTTACTTTGTTTTCCCACCTAGGTTTGAGGGATTTGGAGTGTGTTACGCTTTTATTTATTGGGGTAAAAACAAATTCTTGGATCAACCTTCATCCATCACAAATCCATAAAATCTCATGCTTGTTCCATTATTTATCTGAAAGTTATATCGAGCTGCTTGTTGTCAATCTTTGACATCCCTTCTTTACCTATAAATTTTCAGAAGAAGCGACCAAACCGAGTCTCTGAATTGGAAACCCAGCTTTCTCAGCTCCAAGAGGAACTGAGCAAGTCAAAGGATCAGCTGAACTCGTCCGAATCTTGGAAGAAGAGGGCTCAGCAGGAGGCTGACGAAGCTAAGAGTCAACTTGCTGCCATGTCATCAAAACTCGAGGAGACTGAGAAGCAACTGGTTGAGATTTCCGATTCTGAAGACTCTCGTATCCAAGAATTGCGCAAGATCTCTCAGGATCGAGACAGAGCATGGCAGTCTGAACTGGAGGCTGTCCAGAAGCAGCACTCAATGGACTCTGCCGCTTTGGCTTCTGCAATGCATGAGATACAGAGGCTCAAGATTCAACTGGACCGGATGGCTGAAGCAGAAGCTGCCCAGGCTAGACGTGCAGATTCAGCTCATGCCGATGTTCAGAACTTGAGAATGGAACTCGAGAAAACCATTGATTTTGTTGAAGAATTGAAGAGTCAGCTAAGTAATAGTAAAGAATCTGAAGCTCAGGCGATTGAAGAACTCACTAGGGTCCAAATGCAACTGGAAGTGGTGAAGACTACTGAGGAAACAGTACGTTCTGAACATGTCAATACTGTGGAATCATATAAATCTTTGGTATATGAGTTGGAGCAATCAAAGAATAGAGTGAATTCTCTGGAGGAACTTGTTGGCAAACTCCGGGCTAATCTCGACTCCAGCAACAAGATAACAGATCCTCCGAGCAATGATAACATCTCTCCTGTGGACAAAGAACTTAATGAATCAGAGCTGCTGAAAACTGAACTTACCAATTTGAAACTGGAAGTAAGTCAACTAAATGCTGCACTAGAGGCCGCTGAAAGAAGATATGAGGAAGAATATATTCAGAGCACATTGCAGATTAGGAATGCTTATGAACTTGTGGAGCGAGCAAAAATGGACTCAAGTGAAAGAGAAGCTGAACTAGAGACAAAGCTAAAAGTCTCTAGAGCTGATGTTGAGGAATTGAAGGCAAAGCTGATTGAAAAAGAAAATGCATTGCAAAGTATTTTGTTTGAGAAAAGAGGGTCAAATCTTAAGGTGGATGAAGACCGGAAAACAAAAAATGAAACTGAACTTGAAATTGAGCTGACGAAATCAGAGTCGGTTTTAGCAGACATGAAGGCAAGTTTATTTTGTAAAGAGAGACAGTTGCGGTGCATAACAGAGGAAAATGAGATGCTGAAGTCTGAAATCATGAAAACTGAAGTAGAAAGAAGCAAAGCAAATGATGAGGCTCTTGTTGTGGCAGAAGAAGCACGTGCTGCCGAGCGAGAGGCCTTAATGAAGCTTGGATATTTTACAGAGGAAGCAGATAAAAATAGTCGAAAAGCGGCACGGGTTGCTGAGCAGCTCGATGCAGCACAGGTTGCAAATTCTGAGATGGAAGCTGAACTGAGGAAATTAAAAGTGCAGGCTGACCAGTGGAGGAAGGCTGCTGAGGCAGCTGCTACAATGCTCTCAACTGGTAATCATTAATCACAATCATTAATCACATTAAAAAGCTAATCCTGTAGAGATGGGACGTGTCTATTTATCTAAATTGTATATTCAATACATCATCTCTCGTGCAGGCTGCATTTATATATTTTGTTAAAGGCCTGACGTGTACACAATTCTATTTATAAGTCATGGCGAGACTTGAGCTTAAGATCTCTATCTCCTCTTTATACCATGTAAAATTGTATCAGCTAAAAGTTTAAGCCCTAAAGAAGGGACATATTTATTTTTTTAAATTTGTCTCTAACAGGTAACAATGGCAAATATGTCGAGAGGACGTTGGACTACCAAACTATTGGTGGAAAGTTGGATTTGCCCTATTCTGAAGATATGGAAGACGGCTCACCCAAGAAGAAAAATGGCAACATGCTGAGGAAGTTCGGTGTTTTGCTGAAAAAGGGCCAGAAATAGATTAAACAATTGACAGGTTCCATTCCCTTTTGCATTGAGCTCTTCTATTCATTTGTCTTT